AGGGGAAACCACTGGCTGTGATCGTCGTCCTGCTGCGACGTAAAATAATTCCTGATGACACTTGGGGGCGGTCGTTAAATTGCCTCTTGATCAGCGAGTTGGTGTAAGGCGCGCTGCATGCGAGGGTAAACATTGTGCAGGGCTGGCCAGCTCAGCAGCTACTCGGGGCACAGGGGTGGGCCGTGTGCACAMCTTTAGTCAGTCACGCACCCTACCGGATCGCTCAGGGACGCTGACGTCAAGTGACAATCAAGGGGAATTGGGGAAGGGGTAGATTCCAGGTGATAAGTTTGAGAAAGATCCCATGCTGTGAACAGAACCAACAAATGACATTATTTTTATTTTGATTAGTTAGATGTACAGCCATTGACATCTGACAGACAGCATAGTTTAGAACTGTTCATTGTTCATTGTGCTTCTGTTTGYGGACTAGTCAAAGTAGAGTAGTGTTATTTGCAGGAATCTGCACTTGCCTGTTGGACCCAAATGTATCTACTGATTCTACTCCGAATTTGCCACCAATTAATTCTTTATTTATTTTAAATTGGTCTGGGCATTACGCTGTGGTTGGTACCTAGTGTAACCTAGTGCAGATTGTGCTCAGTGCTGTAGCTTATGAGCGATAGGGAGGAACAGCAACCAGACGGCCGGATTCTGCGATCAGCAAGACGCCCAATTGCCCACTTGGCCTTAGGACCAGAGGGCGACAGATACCTATTCCGACAGCTTAGGGAGAGGAGGCAGCAGCAGAGAGCTAGGGATGCAGAAGCCAGCAGAGCTTTCGCAAGTGAGGTCGCTGCTTTAGTAGCCATGGCTAGCGCTGCACAGCAATACTCGCAGGCTGGGAGTTCAGGAACTGTAGGGTCAACTGCAGCGCAGACCCAGAGTCAGTCGGCTGGCGTAATCGCCAGCCAGTCAAATGTGTTGTCACCCGAGGAGATCGCCATACAGCAGGCTGCCCTGCAAGAGGCACAGCTACAGAAGGCTTTAGGAGAGATAAAGGCGGAGAAAGAGAGAATGATTAGAAGAATAGCCAGGATGCAGCGAAGAGAAGAAGACGTTAGGCAGTTAGAGGAAATGGATCTGACAAATATGGATGCGGATGTGAGGGTAGTTCGGAGGGCTCTGCTAGGAGTCATAGAGACGCAGGATCATCAGACTGCCATCCTCCAAAACATTCAGCAGAGTCTAGCCTGGCTGGTTGGACGATTGCAGGCAGCTCCATTACCGTCAGGGCCTGGTGCCTGGCCCGTGGCACATCCTCCTCCTTCTGCCCCACCGGTTATTGGGGTATCCCCATATGTAGCCCCATCATCGGTCGCTATCGTTTCCCTGGGCATGCCGCTATCAGAAGGGTTATCAGCAGGACCTAGTGTTCAGATCCCTGTACAGACAGTGTTATCCCAACCTCCGTCGCAGGTTGCCATCAGTGGGCAATCTGTTGTCCCACAACCTGTGCAGCCGCAGGGGACACAGCCACAGCAGCAACAGGTGCAGCAGCCTGTTCCCCAGAGTCCACAGCCAAGTGTGGGACAGGTGCAGGGACAAACACAGTGGGTTCCAAAGACGGCAATCACTGCTCCCARACCCTTTTCAGGGTATAAGAGGGGCGAAGACCTCGACAGATGGTTGAGGGCGGTGCCGGTATATGTTAAGTGTAAGTTGACCTTGCCGCACGAGGAAGTGCTTGTGGCTGCTTCCTATCTAGAGGGGAGTGCAGCAAGATTAGGGCAACTACAGGGATACGGTCGTGACTTCCGCGCTTGGGCAGCCAGCCAAAAGCTGGATGACTTCCTCAAGCTGGTGGAGGAAAGGTGGCATGACTTCCGCACTTGGGCAGCCAGCCACGTTGGTGGTAGCGAGAGCAAGCTCTCATTGACATTGGTTTTCAGTGTTACGATTCTTCATTGGTGTGATATTGGTGCAATGCTACTCTATGGACACTGTGATACTATCTGGCCTTCAATGTAATTGTGTATTCTGGTTATTGTCATCTCGCTATTGCTCATTTTCCTTGCACATTCTTCTTTCTTCTGTCTAATTTCACTTCTTGTTGAGTTGCAATGCATAATATGGCATTCTCGCAAATTGAGTCTAAGGGCATCCTGGCACTAGCACTTTCCGGACTCAGCTCTGGACGCGATTGATGTCAGATGCATTCAGATCTGGACGTAGTTGCAGTTCGAACTGAACTGAACTGAACTGAACTTAAGAAAGTGTTCCTGTGAGTATGCCCTAACAATTGCACGATCACCTGAGCAGGCTCATGGGCACACACACCTCCCTCATAACATTCATTAAAACTGGAAAGACAAAAAAGAAGATAAGCATAGCCCCTGCACAAGGATGGCGGCACACACAAATTCAGGAATTATGGTCCAAATTTTGGCAAGTAAATTAAAAAAGTAAAAGAAAAATGGTTGGAGAAAAGAAAGGATCGTAGCACACACAAGGGAAATGATAAATAAATGGAAGGATCAGATTCAGGTTCAAGGTGATCAGATAGCCACCTCGAGCTCCTCTCGCTTTTGTGCGATAATTCCTTTGCGCTCCTTCAACCTTTGTTTACGCATCTCTTGCTCTGCCACCAGCTTGTTTCTTTGACCCACTGCTTTCAATTTCTCTCTCTCTATTTTCTCTGCATGGGCGCTGACTTGCGACAGCAGGAGCTTCAACACCTGCCCTGCCCATAGAGTTGGGTATAGACGAAAAAAAGAGCAACAAAATTAAACATCCATAATGAGCAATTATACTGTTGTGGGGCAACCGCACCAGAAACCTGGGTTGTATACATTCCCCATTACCGACCTTTTTGCCTCAACAAGTGCATTTTCAAACTCAAACCCTGACTGCGCCATAGTTTTCTCTTTTCTTTTCTTAATTCTGTTGTGAGTCTTGTGACTACTAGTCCAATGAAACACTTTCTAACAGCCATTTCGTTAAAACCCCGAGTAATAATGGGGCTCATTAGACACTCCTCGGGCACGTAAAATCTACAAGGACGTGATCGTTCCACCTATCCTCGGCGAAGAAATTTGGAAAAAAATGTGAAACATTTCCTCGAGGAATCCTTGTAGCATCCTTGTGGCCCAGCCATTTCTTACCCTAGTGCAAGGAACCTCACGAGGTCCCTCGGAGGTCGAGGATCCGCAATAATCGGAGCGGCGAAGGCACGCGTCGTCAGTAGCTTTTTTATTTTCAGCTGGTCCATTGGTGATCCGCCAGCGGGTGCACGGACATTATCGGGCAACGACGTTGGGTCGTGGTGCAACGGGTCTCAAAAGGCTGCCGTTGGAGGACAGCCGTCGTCGGGGTTCCTCTTCAATTGGGGTCGAGGTCGTTGTGCTTCGCTCGGGTTTCCCGCCAGCGTCGGCGAGTTCCAATAGTCGGGACAATTGAATATTTTGCCCGACCTGACTCCCGCATCCCCACCCATGTCGGCGGCGGATAACGTTATGGTGCGTCTGACGTATAATGTCCTCTTCCACTTGCTCCCTTCATTGTCGCCGTTTGGTGGACCTCCACCGTCGTCATCGAGTTATGGCCCTGTCGTACATGTTGTTGATGGCCGACCTCTATTGCAGGCTGCTTGTGCTGCCCCTAGTTGTGATTTTGCTTGTCGTCGTCCTCCTGTTCCATGTGTGCATCATCGGCAAGGTGCCTGGGCGTACACGCAGGAGGCGATCAGCGAAGAAGGGCGTCGAGATGGACGAACAGCAACCGAAGAGTTGGGCGTTGTTCGAGTCCCCCAGCGCTCACCGCCCGCAACACACCCCTGGTCGAAGGTCACCGCAGTACGACCCGTCTGCGTATGCGCAGATACCCTCACACGAAATTCCGCTGCCACCGACGGACGACGAGGCGGAGGAGGTAGGTTCTCGGACCGTCGCACTCGGTAGCGGATCAACGTAGGATTGGGCGGGGAGCTAGCTGTTTGAAAGTCGGCCAACAATGTCTCGACAATCGTATACCCAACTGCTCGAAGAAGGTATACGCGAGGAAAAAAAACATGTCGGCGTCAATCTGTCGGTTGGACTGTGTAGCGGGAGCTCGGCGGCGACGACACGTACGCGCATCATCAATCCCCACCCTGATGGCGATTGGGGTTAAGTGACGCTTGTCAGCCGGGTCGGTGGGGGGAGGGGTCTTCCTTGGATCGTCGGCAGAAACCAAGGCCCGGGGTCAACACCGTCTGCAATCGAAGTCGACGCCGGCAACACATCCCGCAGTCGTTCGTCCGCAAGGGGTGCAATTGCCATTGCCATTGACGGGATGTCAGGTGACGGGAAGGTGGTCGGGTAGGGGCGGTGGGGACGACGGTTTCGCAGTCGTCTTCGATGAACAGACGGGTCGACATATCTGGGCAGAACATCGGCAGCAGCTTCGTGGAGATYGTGAAGACGCGATAACGAGGGGGGTTTGGCAGCTGCACGTGGGCAGAAGCGACGCAGAGAAAGAGGCGGCGGTGGAAGTAGAGGCCTACGAAGACGTCGACGATGAAGATGAAGACGAAGAGGACGAAGACGACACTGTGGACATTCAACCACTCGGCAAGAAGCCCATGGGCGGTCGGGGAACAAGCAAGAAGGGTTCTGCCTCACAGGGACGACACCACTACGCCACTGGAATGCCCATCTCCACCGTCCGCTAGAAGGCACGCCACCTGCCCCACGTCGCTGTCGTCACGTCCACCACTAGATTCGAAACTTGAATTTTGAACCGGGAGGTCCGCTGTGATTTTTCAGGTTTTTATTTTTTCCGCCGCCAGCGCCCTCCAAAAGTTCCCGCCTTCAGCAGCTGGACCACACCACCGCGAGACGGACATTAACCAATGGACCAAGGGATGTGGGCCGTGGGGGCCAAAAAGGAATCGTCCTCGGGAGGCCACCCCAAGGATAGGTGGAACGACGAAAGGAATTTCCTTCAAAACCCCGAAAGAAATTGCCTTCGGCCCCGAGGACACTACAAGGAGTGTCTAACGAGCCCCTATGTATCTCAGCTATAGATGCTGAGCATAAAAATCGTCATGTATGCCAAAAAACTATGAACCAGCGTGGGCCTCACTTTGGCTAGCGCCACCAGCCATTTCGGTCCGGTAGTACCAAACCACACTTGGGTCCCGAATATGATACTCGCGCGTATTCGATTTTCAAGCGGGGAAATGTACTGGTGGTTTAAAAAGGACATTTTATATTTTTTGAAGTTGGAACGAAATTGAGACCTACTTATTTGGCCATAAAAATGTCACAATGTTAGTTCCTGAGGGGGTCCGGCATTTTCAGACAGCGACATTCTTAGGACCAAATAAAAAGGGCCAAATGAGGAGGTTTCATTCGTTCGGAAAACAAAAATTTAATGTCCGTTTTAACGAAATGGCTGTTATATTACAGTTCCTGTTTCTCGTCCTTTTCTCCCTTTTCTTTATTTTGGGGCAACGGCGGTCCACGACACAGACGCGTATCAAATAGGCAAAAACGACACGCTCCAGCAAAACAAACGCCGCCGAGTTCGGAAAGGCAATGAAAGCACCACAGCCATGACAAAGGGACAAATATCGTAACTACAGAGGCAGGCCGTGCTGCCAGACGGGAAGGGGAAAAAACAAAGAAAAACTATTTTGCTTGAAATTGCCATTTCGATGTCACCACAAATGGTTAGCGAATTTCATGAAAATGCACTTTTGCCTTGCTGTTTTATATGTTTTTTATTATATTTTTTTGGATTTTGTTTTGCAGTTAGTTAGTATGGTCTCCACTCTACGAATTGGTGGCAAGTTTGATTAA